CTCCACGCGACACTAGCTTCTGCTGACACCTGGGAAGCCCAGCCCAGCCCAGCCCCGCCCAGGCCCTGCCCTGCTTAGCCCTGCCCAGCCACTGCAGGCACTTAAGCCCAGCCCAGCCCAACCCTGCCCAGCCCAGCCCAGCCCAGCCCCGCCCAGGCCCTGCCCTGCTTAGCCCTGCCCAGCCACTGCAGGCACTTAAGCCCAGCCCAGCCCAACCCTGCCCAGCCCAGCCCAGCCCAGCCCCGCCCAGGCCCTGCCCTGCTTAGCCCTGCCCAGCCACTGCAGGCACTTAAGCCCAGCCCAGCCCAGCCCTGCCCAGCCCAGCCCAGCCCAGCCCCGCCCCGCCCAGGCCCTGCCCTGCTTAGCCCTGCCCAGCCACTGCAGGCACTTAAGCCCAGCCCTGGCCCTGCCCTGCCCTGCCCAGCCCTGCCCTGCTTAGCCCTGCCCGGCCCACCCCAGCCCTGTCCTGCCTGGCCCTGCCCAGCCACTGCAGGCACTTAAGCACTGACCCACCAGGAGGCAGAAGACATCTCTGCACCTGTCTTTTAGCCCCACTTTTAAATACATAAAAATAAAACAGGGTAGAGGCTGGGGCGCCCCAGCACAGGAGAGGAGGGGATCTGGAGATCTGTGCACGAGCATAAGCAAGCAGGCAGAGCCCCAGGCCAGCATGCCTGCAGACATGGTCTGAGGACCCAGGCACAGGTGTGTGTGGGCCCTGGACAGGTGGGTAAGGTCCCAGGCCAGCTGCCAGCAGACAGGGTGAGGGACCTGCATGAGTAAGTACAGGCCCGGGATAGGTGGGCAAGGCCCCCACACGCTCATGGGATCTGGGGAGATGCGTGAGGGAGGACTGCTGAGAGAACATTACAGGGCCAGGCGGCACGGCCTAGTGCCTAAAGTCCTCACCTTGAACATGCCAGGATCCCATATGGGCACCAGTTCTAATCCCGGCAGCTCCACTTCCCATCCAGCTCCCTTTTTTTTTTAAAGATTTCATTACTGGGCCCGGCGCAATGGCGCAGTGGTTAAGGTCCTCGCCTTGCACACCCGGGATCCCATATGGGCGCCGGTTCTAGTCCTGGCAGCCCCACTTCCCATCCAGCTCCTTGCCTGTGGCCCGGGAAAGCAGTGGAGGACGGCCCAAAGCTTTGGGACCCTGCACCCGTGTGGGAGACCCGGAAGAGGTTCCTGGTTCCCGGCTGCGGATCGGCACAGTATCGGCCATTGCGGTCACTTGGGGAGTGAATCATCAGACGGAAGATCTTCCCCTCTGTCTCTCCTCCTCTCTGTATATCTGACTTTGTAATAAAAAAAAAATAAATCTTTAAAAAAAAAAAGAGAGAGAACATTACAGCGAGCAATGACTTCAGGGGGCCAGCGAGCAGACCACTGCACTTGCAGATGAACAAGCAGGCTGGGCCTGGTGGTCTGGAACAGGGGAACCAGAGGACCTTTCTGGGTCAGACCACTACACCTGCCCACGTGGGAGCCCCGAGCTGGGGGGGTTGGGACTGACTGCCATCTGCTGGCACACACAAAAGCTAGGACTGGGAGGCCTACCCGGAAGTGCTGAACCACAATACCCACCAGTAAGTGGCATGGGGCGGCCCACGTTAGGCTAGGGTCACGGCTTTAATATGCACAAGAAAACCCGGTCTGAGGGCAGAATCTTGAGGGATTTGACGCCTCAGCCCTGTGGGGCTGTCATACCCACTAGCTTGCTCAAAGGCTAGGGGTGGTGATGGGGTGAGCTAGGTATGACCACAGAACTCAATACTTATGGGAAGTGGAGTTGGCAACAGGCTGGGCTGGTCCCGACTGCAGCACCCACAGAAAGGCCTAGACTGGGGCACACGATGCCAGGCAGGGGCCTAGCACAGGCTGGTACATGGGAGGGCCAAGTCTGCGAGTGGGCCTGGTAGGGGAACTCCCCTGTGGGCAGTAGCTCCTGCTGGTGAACACAAGCCAAGTCAGGGTTGGGTGTGGCCAGACCAGGCAATGCTGGGCAAACCAGAGCACAAGGGCAAAGGCTGGGGCATGGTAAGCTGGGTCAGACTGCCACACCTACCAGCTTGCATGAGAGCTGGGGATGGGGACAAGCCGAGCAGGCCTAGGCCATAGCACTAACTGGCAGGAGTTGGGACCGGGCCAGGCCAGGCCAGACTGCAGCATCTGAGCTAAAGGGATCTTCCTGCTGGGCTGTGGGCGAACAGGAATGGCGATGTGCCAGACTAGACTAGTATCTAGTACCCGCTGGCGCTTGCAAAAGCCAGAATGGGTGTGGAATGGGCTGAGCTAGCTCATGGCACCAGCTGATCCACATGAGAGCCAGGTCTGGGGGGTGGGCCATCAGGACTGGGCCAGGTAGGGCTGGGCTGCAGCACCCACCAGTAATAGCTGGAATAGATGTGGGCTGATCTGGCAAGCCACCGTATCTGTCAGTGAATGCCAGGACTGGAGGTGGGTCAAGTCAAGCTGAGCCAAATACCCACTGGTGTGCACCAGACTGGCAACTGGGAGCTGGTCTGACAGGGGAGCTTATGAACAGCCTATTTAAGACAGATCCTGCTGGTGAGTGTGAGAACTGAGGTTGGGGGCAGTCAAGGCCAAGCCACACTACGGTATCCATTGGCATATACATGGGTCCAGTCTGGGGCTGGGCTGGTCTAGTCTTCAACAGCCATTGGCAAGTGCCAGAATCAGGACAGGGTGTAGGCCAGGCCAGGTTGGTGCAAACAGCCAGCAGTTCACATTAGGGTCAGCCTTGGGGCTAGCTGGGCTGAGCTGGGTTGAGCTGGGCTGAGCTGAGCCAGCCTGGGGGCTAGCTGGGCTACAGCACCCTCCAGCATGAGCTGGGACCATGGGCAGGCCAGGTGGAGCCAGGTGGCAACACCTGTTGACAAATGCCACAGCAACACAGGCCAGGCCAGCCAAACTGGGTCATAGCATCCACCACCACATGCAAGACCCCTGGCTGGGGGAGAACCTGGCTGCAACAAGTGTTGGTCCACAAGTGCGCCGAGTCTGGGCACTGCATCCTGCCAGCACATGCAAGGGCCAGGATGAGTGTAAGTCTCATGAGACTGGATAGCAGTGCCCCTGGAAAGTACAAAATCTGGGATGGGGACTGGGCCTAGTAAGGGAACTAGTGCTCGTCCACTGGGTCATCAAGTGGACTAGTGTGCATGCGGGCCAGGCTGAGGGCAGGCTGGGCTAAACAAGGCAGCAGCTGAGGGCCAGGCTGAGGGCAGGCTGGGCTGAACAAGGCAGCAGCTGAGGGCCAGGCTGAGGGCAGGCTGGGCTGAACAAGGCAGCAGCTGAGGGCCAGGCTGAGGGCAGGCTGGGCTGAACAAGGCAGCAGCCCACTGGCATACGTGTGCACTGGTCTGTGGGGTGAGCTAAGCTGAGCTAAGCTGCAACACCCATAGGTAAATACAAGAGCATCCAATTGGGATGCAACATGGACCGGACTAGTCTGCTACACTGGCACACACAGGAACTGGCCTGGTTGGGGTTACTGGGGGTCACCCCAACTGGACCACTGGACACAAAACGCTGGCCACAGGTGCTGGGGTCCGTGTGATGGATGTGGAAGACAGGAAGATGTGAAGAGTATCGTTCCTTTGCAGGCAAGGCCGCAGGGAACTTCCCGCTGTGTGGCAAGGCCCGGTGGATGTCTCTACAACACCTGAATGCAGCTCCGCCTCCCTTCGCATGGACACCGGACAACCCCACTGAGTATTCTGTAATCTATTTAGGCATTGTCTGCCTCTGCGAGTTACTGTTAAGTATCAATGGGAGCTTAGAAACTGATGTTGCTGTTGCTGTTTTTTAGCGAAAAAGCTGTTATTGCTGTTACAGCTGCATCCTGTGGCAATAGCTAATCAAGGGTGCTAACTCCCCCTTTTGATCCTATGCTAATCAAGGGTGTTCTGTCTTCAGGTGTAGTGGGAATCTATTCTTTCCCTCTTTCTTTGATCTTTTAGGGCCCTTCCTTCCTTGACTGTCTCAAGATCAAGCTGTAGAATGAGAATTGTGGTAGGAATGTGTTACTGATTGATATGCACCATCTATTGAAAACTTTTTGCTAGCCTTAGGTGAAACAAATGGCACAGTTATCTTTAGAAACACCCACTTGACCATGACGTAAAAAGTCTGAGCCAGAGTTTGACTGATTTTGTATAAATAAAGCGGACAGCTTTTGTGCGTCGTCCATTATGATGAAGTCTTAGTGGTCCGTCTTTCTTTCCTCTTTGTGCCTCATCCACGCACCCTTCGCGAGTTCCGAGCTCAGCTGGGGCTGGACTCCCTTCGCGAGTTCCGAACTCAGCTGGGGCTGGGCTCCAGCACACGGGAGTCATAGGATTTGTGGTTTGACCTTGGAGAGCATACATCAGGCCTGGGCGTCCTTGACTGCTGAGGTCAACACGGTGCATGGCACGCCCAGGTACATGAAAAGGGCATGATGGCCAGCTCGCTGGGGCCTGCACAGGACATCAGGGGCCACGTCAGAAGACGGAGAACAGAACAGGTTGGCCAGCTCTCCTGGCCACGCTTTGGCAGCAAATGCCCGGGTGAGTGGAAGCACCGGGGTGGACCCTGTCAGCCAACGGACCTTGGGAGGATTTTCTCAACCTTGGAGCAGCGAAACCAACAGCGTTTCAGAACTATGAAAAGCATTCAAGCAACACCCTCGGATCCTTGTCTAGGTCACCAAGTGGACACTCCCTGCCCGGTACTGACCTGCTCTGGCAGCAGCCTCCCCCGCCCCAGACACAGGAGGAAGGAAGACTGGGAGCATGTGTCTGCCTGCCTTCCCTCACACCTCAACCCTCTCCTCCCTACTTGGACCCTCTGGGCCCGCATTCTTGCCAACTGTACAAACATAAAAAATAAAATAAAAGTTAAAAATAGTAATAAAAAATAAAACAGAAGCCCTAGAGAAACTTAACTACTATATTGCAACAACTGGTGTGTATCAATCATACCAGAATTACCTCGGTTCAGAAGCACTTCGGGTCTGGTCTCCACCACATGTAAGTCAGTCTGTAACGAACAGAAAAGGCGCTATTTGCATTCAGGTTATAATGAAATATCCCATTTGCCGACATTCTCACTTCAGTAGGAACACGGATCACCCCTCCCCGCCACTGTGTCCCCCCAAACTCCTTAACGCCACCGCAGTCATTTGTTCCTCAGTGGGGAGCGGAACACAGAGCCAAGTGGGTCAGCCCGTGAGCCCTGTGAGTGTGGGTCCGGTGGGGCCTTAGCTCACCTGGCTCGGACCTGGGCCCACCTGCGAGCTGTGGACAGCTGGCCCAGGCCCACACGGAGGACATGGCAGCCGCCTGAGCCCTGCAGGGACATCCGGACCATCCCAGAGGAAGGGGGACAAACACCAGGCAACTACCCCGGCCAAACAGAGACTCTACGGTGGACGGTCAGCCAGTGGACATTGAAAGGGCTCCCTCACCCTTGGAGTGCGTGCCACACTGGGACCCAGGTTGGTATCAGGTGGCCATTCCCCATCCCTGGGCACTGGGGTAGTTGGGAAGCTGGGTATGGCTTCTCCGCTCACCCCCAAACAGGAAGCAGAGGTGGGGAATCCGGAATCCCATCCACTTCCCCCAACCCTTGACCCAGCCCACTCTGATCAACTGTGTTAACATCATCTAAAATTTAAAACCAGAAAGAAAAAAGAAAAGAAATACTCCCAGGTAATTACCATGAATTAACAGAAAAGTAAGGGACTAGGCTTGAAATCTGTAACTACAGGAATGTAACAATAAAAAGGTACTGGGCTCAGTCTGGTAGCCTAGTAGCTAAAGTCCTCGCCTTGCATGCACCAGGATCCCATATGGGCGCCGGTTCTAATCCCGGCAGCCCCACTTCCCATCCAGCTTCCTGCCTGTGGCCTGGGAAAGCAGTCGAGGATGGCCCAGAGCCTTGGGACCCTGCACCCACGTGGGAGACCGGGAGGAGGCTCCTGGCTCCTGGCTTCAGATTGGCGCAGCTCTGGCCATTGTGGCCGCTGGGGATGAATCAGCAGATGGAAGGGCTTACTCTGTTTCTCCTCCTCTCTGTAAATCTGACTTTACAATATAAATTAAAAACAGAAATTAAAAAAAAAAAAGAAAAAGAAAAATGGCACTGCAATTCCAGCAGCTTTTAGAAACTGCTCTACTCTGGACAAAGAACCCTTAAACAGAAGAGCGACAGGCACGTGGGGCAGGGCTCCCTTCTGGGGGACAAAGAGCCCGGGGGCAGGGCCAGACACCGGACACACAGACCCACTGAAGTGCTCACTTCAACTCATGATCTGTGCAAACAAGGCCTGCTGGCCAACACACCAACAGAGCCAAGCTCCCGGGCAGAGCGGGGCCAAGGGACCGGTCCCTGCTCCCGCGTGGGCGGCCAGCACAGAGCCCCCTGCTCCCGCGTGGGCGGCCAGCACAGAGCCCCCTGCCCCACAGAGCGGGGCCCAAGGGACCGGTCCCTGCTCCCGCGTGGGCGGCCAGCACAGAGCCCCCTGCTCCCGCGTGGGCAGCCAGCACAGAGCCCCCTGTCCCCACCGCAGCACCGTGAGCAGGTGAACTTTCCCTCGTTCTCACACAGTAACTGCGGTGGAAATGGAAGGCAGAGCTGCGCCGAAGCTGAACGCTCCCTCAAAAGGCACAACTGACACAGGGTCACGCTCTGGGGGCTTCCTGACCTGTAACTGCAGGGTCAGGAATGTGTGACACGTTCTTGAGAGGAGGGGCCCGGCCACCCCGTCTTTCCCTTCGGGGGTGCTGTCTGTTGTGCTGTGGAGTGGGGGTTCTGCATCAGCAACAACCACAGTCTTTGCCCCCAGGTGCCAGTCACCCCCTTTTAGCAGCCATCGCCACCTGATGTCACTTAGGGTTAAACCTCCATTAGGGACGCCTGGATCATCAAAATCACCCTGATAAACCCCGAAACGCAAATCCGGCCAGGTGTTTGAGGAAACACATCCCAGGGTACTTTGCTTCCAGTGACGCTCACAGTGACAATGGGGGCAGGAAGGAGCCAGATGACCAAACCCCGAGACAGGCCCTTCTTCACCACAGCTCCAGGACCCCGTGCCCTGCAGGAGCAACAGAACCCTTCAAGGGGACCAGGAAACCGGGGATGTCTCCAACCCCAGGCCTCCACCTCACCACGTACAGATACGACCACAAAAGCCTCTCTTCATTCACCTTACCACCTGAGCGTACCCACTGGCAGAGCAGTGGGCGCAGGCACCTGCTCACAGGGCAGGAGGGCCAGGCAGGCGGCCGAGCCAGGTGGCTCCTGTCCCATAGCCAGCAGCACCGGACACTCAACCCTGCCTCTGATCTAGGACCGCCGGCTCACTGCCAGCCCAGGAAACCCACTGTGCCCTCAAGACCCAGCAGTTGCGTTGTTCCACGAGGCCCAAGGGCTCCTCGGACTTGGCCACGACGGGATGTTCTAGGCTGTTTCTCCTGACGCAGCTCAGCAAAGCTGTGAGTGCGGTCACAGGGACGCTCGCAAGCCCAGGCTCGGAAATCGGTGAGACAGAGCTTCAGGACTGGACGTAGGTACGCGGGCGCCTCACGTCACAGGCAGAAGACCTCTCTCGCAGTCTCTCCTTCTGTCTGGAACTATACCTTTCAAATAGAAGTCTTCTCAAAAAATCTTAACAATTTTTAGGGTCTGGTGTAATAGCCTAGTGACTAAATCCTCGCCTTGCACACACCGGGATCCCATACGACCACCAGTTTGTGTGCTGGCAGCTCTGCTTCCCACCCAGCTCCCTGCCTGCGGCCTGGGAAAGCAGTGGAGGACAGTCCAGAGCCTTGGGCCCTGCACCCACATGGGAGACCCAGAGGAGCTCCTGGCTTTGGATCAGCTCAGTTCTGTCCATTGCAATCACTTGGAGAATCAATCAGCAGACAGAAGGTCTTTCTGTCTCTCCTCTCAAATACAAAAATGCTTTTAAAAAGTCTTCTAAAGAATTCGAATCACAGATCTGAAAGCAAAAGTTTATCCTCAAATCTATGAACAAATCAAGTTGTCCACAAACCTAAAATGCTGCCCCAGTGATGGCCCTCCGGCCAGGGGATGGCGCACTGTCTCCAGAGCCCGCTGCCCGCCACGGCCTCTGTACCAAGCCGATCCACGCATCCATGCAGCACAGCTTCTAGAACATTCTCCCCAGCAAGGAAGGAAGACTGGGAACAGACGCAGGGCCTCCCTCCCACCTACCCCTCGGTGCTGGTCTCCGCGTTCACGGGGCAGCTAGGACTCCAGGCCCTGACAGGACAGCGTTCGGGGGCCAAGCAGGAACGTTACAGCCCCAGGAGCCGGCACAGGCTCGGCGGAACTAGAGTCAGGTGGGCAGCCTTCACCAGGACGGCCTCCCAGCCAGCAAAAGCTGTAGTGGGCAAAGCCCCTGCCGGGGACTGTGTGCGGCCATGTGCCAAGGGCAGGGTGTGCACACAGGACTACTGAACATCAGCTGCCCAGGGGCAGAACTCCACGCTCCGAGGTGAGGCAGGCCCATTGCCTGTGCTGGAAAGCCTGCCCCAGTCCCAGCTCCACATCCGGTTCCTGCTAATCCCCACCCCGGGAGGCAACAGGTGCGGCTCTAGCGGCCAAGTCATGCCATGCAGCTGGGGGACCCAGAAGCAGCGCTGGCCTCATCTGGCTGATCACAGGTCTGTGAGGGGAAGCCTGGGAGACCTGCATTTACCCTGTGCTGAAAACACAAAAAAACACGCCCGACACCACAGCTGGTAAAGCAGCTACACACACAGGCATCCCATCCCTATCCGAGCAGAAAGCAGCAGGCCAGCGTGGCCCAGCGCCCACGGGGAGACCTGGAAGAAGCGCCCGGCTCCAGCGTGGCCCAGCGCCAGCTGCTGCAGCCATCTGAGTGCAATGGACTGGAGCTGTTCTCCCGCTCTCATGCCCACGTGTGTGCCAGGGTGGGACTGTGACTAAGCAGAGACCCACCTGCCAGATGCCCACATCCCGTCTCACAGCGACCATGTACGCACGCCAGCTCCTGCCCTAACTCGATGCCACTACAGGCTACGGAAGCCTGGTTCCTGGCTGTGCCTGGGCAAGTCCCAGCTTCACCTGACCCAGTGCCATCACTTAGGACATTTAGGTCAGAGCTATCTGTGTCGCAGCCGACCAGAAGGTCCCTGGGGTCAGGCCTCACATGGCAGCCCTGGGAGCCGGAGGGGACGGGTTCAAGGGATGGGTGCCTGGGCTGGGATGCACTTCACCCTGTCATCCTGCTTGTGCCAGTAGCAGGCACCAGCCTCCCAGCCACGTGGGAAGTCACGGAGGGATTTGGCCCAGTCCTAATTGGTGGAAACCTAAGAAATGAACAGCAGAGGGGAGCTCTTTGTCCCTAACTCCCTCTGTCTACCAAATTAAAAAGGGAAAAAAGGCTCCGGTGTGATAGCCTAGTAGCCAGCATCCCACAGGGGTGCTTCATGTCCCAGCTGCTCCAATTCCCCTCCAGTTCCCTGCTTGAGGGACAAACTTCCAAAGCACAGCTGACGACAGGAGCCCCGAGTACAGCTGAACAGGAACCCACAGCCCAAGCCACCCGTCCGCCAGAACAGAATCATGACACGCAAGGCGATGCCATTGGGCCGCTTTTTCGGACTCACCAAAGCTCCGGGGGGTGGGGGAGGCCAACAAGGCTGCCGATCCACGGCACACCGCCTCAGCCGGACAGGCTCCCAGGGGCAAGGCTCCGCCGGCGCCCGAGGACTGGCCAAGCCAACACGGGCTCAGCGCTGCGCTCTAATTCACAGAATGACAGCTCCTCAGCGCATGCTCAGCTTTGGCGCGGAGAGCGGACCGGGTAGTACGCCTCCAGTGTTTGCCGATGTGGACACGAAATGAACCTGGGAGAGAAGGCTCCACAGACGGGATGGCCATCAGGGTGAGCCGGAGGCCAGCGGGGACACCTGAGCAGGCCAAGTCCCGGAGACGCTGCCAGGCGCCTGGTCACCATGCTCTCCTACAGCAGCAGACGGACACGC